TCCAACGAAACAACCACAGAAACCGCGCAAAAACAACGCCTCGACACCAACACCAACACAAAACGCAAACGCACCTAAACGCCGGATGATGCGCCTCAAGCAGCGGGCGCAGACACTTGTAGTGGAACGCGTGCGAGCACGGCGCGATGAAGAGCGCTTGGCGGATCGAGACGGGGAAGAGGCCTGCGGGGCGGGTAGGCGTTAGTAAGTGCGGGGCGGAGAGGGGAGGAAAATGAGTGTGGGCAGAGAGACGAGGGGTGGGGAAGATGCGGTAGGGGTGGGGCGGAGAAGCAGAAGAGGATAAGGGAGAAGACGGTCGGAAAGGAGGGTCGGAAGGGAGGGGACTTCGGGCAGGGTCGGGAGGAGAAAGGATGGACGTCCACTCCGATCGAGGGAAAACGAAAAGCAGAAAGCAAGACGAAAGAAGAAGAAACGCACAGATACAGCAATCCGGTATACTCCCCGCACTCGGACCCTTGCGCTTCTTCTCCTTGTCCGGAGCGGCTGCGAGGGAGGGGAGTCAGCATTGGTGCGATTAGAGGCATATGAAGAGGGAGAGGAGAGATATGCAGGTGGAAGCGAGAAGTCACGGAGGATGGAGGAGAAGGAGAAGGACGGCGAGGAGGAGGAGGACAGAATGGGAGGGAAGAATAACGATCCGAGCCCGCCCTAAGGTGGGGGGAGGAGACAGCAGAGAGGGAGAATGGAGCGGAATGTGGAACGTGGGATGTAAACATGGACGCGACAGCGCTTTGCAGTGATAGTAGTGGTAATAGTGATCAAGGGAGGGAATACAAGGGATACGACATGATATGACCAAGGAAAGGAATGGAATGTCTCGAGCGAGCGAAGGAAGGAGCGAGCGAAGCAAGGAACAAAGCAAGGAGCGAGGCAACGAGGCAAGGGAGCAAGAAAGGAAGAACACAAGCACACAACAACTCACCCGCCGTCCCCCCAATCGCGAGCGCCTTGAGGTTCCGCAGCGCGGCCGTGCTGTTGGTGAGGATGTCAGTCAGTACCCATTCGCTCGGGTATAGTATGTAGGAAGGAAGGAGGAAAGGAAGAGAGAGGAAGGAGAAAGCCCGGAAAGAGGGAGTTTAAGAGGAGGCCGCGACACGCACGGGCCGCCGACATCGACCTCGACATGCCAGGAGGAATGCCGACGGAGAAGCCGCGGGGTGAGGCAACGGAAGAGAGGAAGAGCGGCGCGGCGCCCCCACCAGCCGCAAATCAACGATGGGAGCATTGCACTCCCCACTCCAGCGACAATAACGGTCTAGGATCTCCCTGCACGTTCGCAAGAACCGTGAGTAGCGGTGGTGCCCCAAGACGCGCCCACACCCCAACCCGCGCTCCCGTCCGCGAGCTGTCCGTTCGCGACGCGCACACCACGGCCTGCACTGCACCGCACTGCACCACTGCACCGGCCGCCGCCACCCCCCGACGAAGACGAAGTAATCCACGCCCGAACCGGGAAACAACGGCGCACCACCCTTCCCCTCCGCCCAGTCAACGCGACGCCCAAACGCGATGACGATGACGCAGCGGAACAAGAACGCACGGGCGTGAAGACGGGGAAACGCAGGAAAGTGCGCCCACCCTGCACGCGCCCACGAATCCACGAGTATCAAGTGGAAAACCCCGCAAAAAACCCATAGAACTCAAAGTAGCAAAAAAGTAGAAACCCCCCAAAAACCGCCCAAAGAGGAGAAGAATAAACGCACTTGAACGCATTCGCGCCCGCCTGCCACTCGCGGCCCAGCTCGACGCGGATCTTGACGCTCTTGTAGATGTCCTCTGCGCCGCCTTGGTAGTCGACGCCCTGCGAGTCGAGTGAGTGAGTGATTTAAGAGGAAGGGAAGAGGGGAGGAAGGTGAGTAAAGAGGAGGGAAGGAGGATAAAGGAAGGGAGGGGGAGGGAAGAAGAGGGAAGAAGAGAGGGAGGGGGTCAGGATAGGAAGCGAGGGCAGGGAGCGGAGGAGAGAGGGAACATGTGGCAAAGAGGGAGGGAGGGGAGAGGGTAGACGTGGCAAGGAGAGGGAAGGTGGGAGGCAGGTAGGAGAAAGGAAGGGAGGGAAAGGAGGGAGGAGAAGAGGGGCAGACAGCGGGTAGAAGGGGGCAGACGGCGAGGGGGGGACGAGGAAGGCAGGGAGGGAAGAGGGGCGGAGGCGGAGGAGGGACAGGAGAGGGGAGGCGGCGGTGATATCGCAAAGAAGGGACGTTGGGTGACGGAAGAGAACGAGGAAGCGGATGTATAGGGAACGAAAGCAGGGAGTGGAGGGTGGAGGGAGGGACGGAGGGAAAGGAACGAAGGAACGAAGGAAGGCGATGATATCGATATCACAAAGAAGGGAGGGAGGGCGGGGTAGCCCGACGGCGGGAGAGGGGGGAGCGGAGGGGGCGAAGGGGGCGAAGGGGGCCGACCGAGAAGGAGGAGGAAGCGGAGCGGACATATATAGAGGGAACAAGAGCAGGGAGCAGAGTGGAGGGTGGAGGCAAGAAGGGAGGGAGGGCGACGAGTGCGGTCGACGATGAGGGAGGCGGGAACGGCCGAGGAAGGTAAGGAAAGAGGGGGGGGACGGAGTGCGGGCCCAAGCCCAAGATCCGGGATCCGGACGTGGATGAAGACGCGGGGAGACGGTAAAGGGCATGACGGGAGGAAGGGTAGAGGGTGGATGGAAGGAGGGAAGGGGATGTGGGATGCGGGGAAGAAAACGCGGAAAGGGAGAAGGGAGGACGACGGGGAGGAAGGGAAAGGAGGACGAGACGCGGGGCGATGTGAATGGGATGGGATATAGGCTGAGGAGGGGAGAGGGAGCAAAGGACGAGGATTAGAAGAGACAAGGGAGGGGAAAGGGGACGAGGGGAACGAGGGGCCGAAGGAGGACGAAGAGTAGACCATCTCGACACTCACCAACTGCAAAATATCCCCATCCTTAATCTGGTGCGGGCGGCTCTCCGTATTCGCGGGGCTGAGCCTTACATGATTCAAGAACGTCCCCGAGCTGCTCTTCGTGTCGCGGATGAAGAACTTCACGCCCCCCTCCCCATTCCCCTCATCCCCGCCCCCGCCCCCCTCGACCCACACCTCCGCATGCGCGCGACTAACCACCTTGCTCTTGAACGCAATCTTGTTCGTGCTCAGCGCGTTCACCGCCGCAAGCCCGAGCCCGCTCCGGTCCGTGAAGCGCCCGATGCGCAGCGGCGGCGCGGCGACGTGCAGGTCGCGCGCGATGGCGTCGAAGCGCAGCGAGCGGCGCGAGTCGAGGTGCGGGACGAGACGGATGCGGTGCGCTGGGCCCGTGCCCGTCCCGCCTTGAGCGCCGTTCGCAGTAGTGGGAGTGAGCCCCAGCGGATTCGTCGCCGAGCGCGGGACGGCCTGCACGGGCACGGGCGCGGGCGCCGGCGGCGCGACGTTCCCCGCGCTCCGCCGCCGCCTCAGCATGTGGCTCAAGTTCAAGCTCCCGCCGCCTCCCCCGGTATGCCCGCCCGCCCCCGCGCCCGTCCCCGCCGCCCCGCCCTGCCCCTGCGTCCCCGCCCCCGCCACCGCGCCCCTCCTCCTCGCCGACCCCCCGTTATTCGCATTACTGCCCACCCCGGAATTGGGATTGCCCGTGACGGGATTCGGCGACGGCGGGCCGCCGAACGCGCTCCCGCCGATCGCGAAGCCAAAGTGCGGCGGCGAGGGCGAGAGCTCGCGCAGGCCGTCTGGGGGTGCGCCGCCGATGGCGAGGGGGGGCACGTGGATGTGCGACTGCGAGCTGTTGCGCGGGCGGCCGCGGGAGAGGAAGGACCCGAGGATCGTCGTGCTGCGCGGGGGCGGGGGCGAGTCCGCACCGCCGCCGCCGCCGGCGTTGGTGAGTTGGGCGTGGGCGTGGGCTTGTGCGCCGTCCATCGTTCGTTCGTTCGTTCGTCTGCTTCTTCTACAGGTGCTGTACTATTGCTGTTCTTCTAGTTCTTCTTCGAGATTGAGGAGTCTGGAGATAGTGTGGCTGCGAGAAGGGGAGTGGCAAAGATGGTGGCTCCGACGACGAGGACGAGGAGGAAGAAGACAAAGTAAGACCCAGCGAATCTCTGAATATCTACAGCAGTAGCAGCACGGAGACCGAGACCGACGAGCAAGAGGCAGCGGGCGGAGCACTGCAGAGGCAACGTCACGTGCTCACTCCCATATAAAGGTCTTTCTCGAATTGAGACTCTCAGTTCCAGCTGTCAACCTGGCTGCCCAAGTATCCTTTGCTCCGTTCCGTCCTCTTTCCTTTGAATTATTTTCTCTTTGAATTATTTTTTCCCTTGCAACTTCCGAGGACCATGGGATCGTAGCCCCACCGCACTCCCAGTGGGGCCAAGGTAAGTATCTCCACTACGGCCGCTGATGCCGATGCGGTGCGACCTCGAGTCCGCGGCTGACCCCTGGACCTTAAGTAGACTGATACACATCTTTCGAAATCAACACGATGCATGCTGCATGCCATTGCCGTGGATCGTTGGATGGATGGATGGATGGATGGATGGCATCGGTGCCAATATAATCGTTTTGCTTCTGCTGCTGTAACCTTTCCTTGGCTTCTTCCAAACCTCTAAATGCAAAACCCGTAAATCAATCGAGCAGGAGTCGCGAGGAAAAGAAAAAAGCAATCATTGACACCTAACGGGGATGCGGGCGCTGGGAGTCGAACCCACATTCCGCTGCTTCGATTTTGCTTTGGGACCGTTACCACTCAATACAGCTGTGTACCACACACCACGCCCGCTTATCCCTCCCTTTCAAAAGCTTCTTAGGTTCCCCACTTGCGGAGTAGGAGCAGCCCACATCAATCAACGGTATTTACCGCAAATCAAAATCAATCAAGTCTCCTTCAAGTTCAACTGTCCGATCAGCTTGGCATTCTATTTCTTTCCAGTACGCACTGAACGATCCCAGAAAGAAAGAAAGAAAGAAAAGAATCCACTCCCCAAAATCTGCAAAAATATATATATATATATATTATCAAGACGGAATGCGGGCACCGGGAATCGAACCCGGGTCTGCTGGCTGTATTGTCCTAACCTCACAACTCAACACAGCAGTGTTCCATACACTACACCCACTTATCCCTCCCTTGCAAAAGCTTCTTAGGGTCCCCATTTTCGAAGTGGGATTTAGCAGCCTCCACGCCAATCCGACGGTGTTGACCGCAGATCATCAAATCAACTGTAACTGTCTCAATCCCGGATCAGCTAGGCATACATATGGGTTTTCTTTGCATTGTGCAGTGATCCCTGAAGAAGAAAAATCCACCCACCAAAATTTGCAAAAAAAAAATTGGAATCAATCGGGATATGCGGGTGCCAGGAGTCGAACCCAGTCTGCTGCTGGTAATGCGTGGAAATGGATACTCAATGCAACTGTGTACCGTACACCATGCCCACTTACCCCTCCCCTTCAAAAGCTTCTTAGGTTCCCCACTTTCGGAGTGGGATCCAGCAACCTCCATGTCAATCAACCGACGGTGTTTACAGCAGATCAACATCAATCAACTGCAACTGTCTCAATCCCGGATCAGCTTGGCATACCGACATATTCTAGATCTTTATTCTCTTTCTTCCCGATATACTTATGTGCCAGTGCACAATGAGGCCAGAAAGAAAGAAAGAAAAGAATCCACTCAATCTGATAATGTGGGCACCGGGAGTCGAACCCACTCTGCTGCTTGCACTGCTGCACCGTGGACAACTCAACGCAGCTGTGTACCACACACCACACCCACTTATCCTTCCCTCGAGGTCCCCCACTTATATCAGCTTATATCCCACCTGCAGGAAGCAGCCTTCATCGATTAAATCAACGCAAATCAAAATCATTGTCAATCAACTCTCCGATCAGCTTGGCACTTATTAACTTATTTTTCTTTCCAATACTATGCCGCACTGAATGTTCCCAGAAAGAAAGAAAATCCACTCCCCAAAATTTACAAAAAAATAATAATTGAGATTTATCCAGGTAATGCAGGCGCCCGGAGTCGAACCCGGTCTGCTGCTGCTTGCATGTCCGAACTATGAAACTCAATGCAGCTGTGTACCGTACACCATGCCCGCTTCCTTCCCACTGTTCAAAACCTTCTTAGGCTCCCCATCTTCGGAGTGGGATCCAGCAGCCTCCATGTCAATCAACTGATGGTGTTTACTGTAGATCAAAATCAATCAACTGGAACTGCCTCAATCCCGGATCAGCTTGGCATACACATATGTTTTCTTTTCATTGTGCAATGATCCCTGAAGAAAAAATCCACCCACCAAATTTGCCAAAAAAAAAAAAAAAAAATAACATTTACATGCGGGCACCGGGAGTCGAACCCAGTCTGCTGCTGCTTGCAAAGTTGCATCAGAACTCAATATAGCTGTGTTCCGTACACCACACCCGCTTCCTTCCTGCTGTTCAAAACCTTCTAGGCTCCCCACTCTCGAAGTTGGATTTAGCAGCCTCCACATCAATCAACCGACGGTGTTTACAGCAGATCAAAATCAATCAACTGCAACTGTCTCAATCCCGGATCAGCTTGGCATACCCACATATTCTAGATCTTTATTCTCTTTCTTCCCGATATACTTATGTGCCAGTGCACAATGAGGCCAGAAAGAAAGAAAGAAAAGAATCCACTCAATCTGATAATGTGGGCGCCGGGAGTCGAACCCACTCTGCTGCTTGCACTGCTGCACCGTGGACAACTCAACGCAGCTGTGTACCACACACCACACCCACTTATCCTTCCCTCGAGGTCCCCCACTTATATCAGCTTATATCCCACCTGCAGGAAGCAGCCTTCATCGATTAAATCAACGCAAATCAAAATCATTGTCAATCAACTCTCCGATCAGCTTGGCACTTATAACTTATTTTTCTTTCCAATACTATGCCGCATTGAATGTTGCCAGAAAGAAAGAAAATCCACTCGCCAAAATTTACAAAAAAATAATAATTGAGATTTATCCAGGTAATGCAGGCGCCGGGAGTCGAACCCAGTCTCCTGCTGCTTGCAAAGTCCTAACCTCAGACCTGAATGCAGCTGTGTACCATACACCACACCTGCTTCCTTCATGTTGTTCAAAACCTTCTTAGGCTCCCCACTTTCGGAGTAGGATCGAGCAGCCTCCACGTCAACCGACGGTGTTGACTGCAGATTAACATCAATCAACTATCTCACCCTCAATCAGCTTGCCATCCATCCATCCACATCCTCTTTCTTTCCAATATGCACTGAATGACCCCAGAAGAAGAAAAACCACCCTCCAAAGTTTGCAAACAAAAATAAAAATAAAAATAAAAATAAGAAATCGATCGAGAAGATGCGGGTGCTGGGAGTCGAACCCAGGTCTGCAAGTCTTGCAGTGCTCAACTCAATGCAGCTGTGTAACCACGCCCACTTCCTTTCTGCTGCTAAAAACCTTCTTAGGCTCCCCCCTTTCAGAGTGGCCTCCAATGAACCAACAGTATTGACCACAGATTAACATCAATCAAGCGGTCCTTCAACTTCAACTGTCCGATCAGTTACCGATCAGCTTGCCATGCATATCTATCTATTATTTTCCAATATGTGCACACAGACTCCAGAAGAAGAAAAAATCCACTCCTCAAAATAAAATAAAACAGTGGCTCAATAATCATGCAGGTGCTGGGAGTCAAACCCAGTCTGCTGCTGCTTGCAAAGTCCTAACCTCAGAATTTACTGCAGCTGTGTACCATACACCACACCCACTTCCTTCCCTCTGTTCAAAAGCATCTTAAGACCTAGTAGGTCGCACTCTGAGTAACTGAATTGAAATAGCAAGCATGTTACATCCTCATCATAGTCAATTCGGGCTCTCAATTCGTGCAACCATAACCTGCCATGAGATGATATTCAACCTAGTACCTGATATTCTAAAAAAAATCACTTGACGTAAAGCAACATGTGGGCACTGGGAGTCGAACCCAGTCTGCTACATACTTGCGAAGTCATTTCTTTATAACTCAATGCAGCTGTGTTCCATACACCACACCCCCTTACTGTACTATTTCGACCGGATGTTCAGTGACGGGTGACAGAGGCTCGTGAACTGAACTTATTTGGGACCGGTGACGGTGACAACCAATTTTTTGCGCCTAAATAAGCCCAAAAATGCGAAAATTTCCGCTCCGGCATTCGCTGGATTACCATTTATGGGAATTTTCCCATGATTGCCGAGGTTTGAACATCGAACAAAATGAGGACCGGTGATTATGCCTTTCGAGGTAGGATACTGAAAATCGCCTGTTTGGAGCTTTTGTCCGGACTAATTTTATTTTCCCACACTTTCTGAGACTGCAGAAATCAATTTTTCGGTGAAGCGGTCACTTTTGTGTTTTTTTGGTTGAGAATTTTCCGAAATCTTGTCCGGATTCCAGTATCCTACCTCGAAAGGCATAATCACCGGTCCTACAAAATGAACATGTTAGGTGACGGCCCCTGACGGGTGACATGGTGTGAACATACGGTAGAAATAGTACAGTATCTCTCCCTTTAGGTTCCCCACTTTCACACCATGCCTACATAGAAGCAGCTTTCACAAAAATTGATCAACGGTGTTTACGCAGATCAAGATCAATCAAGTCTGTCCCATCAGCTTGGCAACATATGTGTTTTCTTTCCAATAACAATTATAGCGCGCTTTGCGGCAGAGCCCACTAACTTGGGTTTGTCAATTATACACTGTTCCAAAACCAACCGGCATATACAGGCAAAGGGAAAGTAAGTAAACATACAGAAAAATCCAAGAGGCCACTGAGTTGATCTGAACATCGGCGGAAACAAGTGTTAAATTTTAATGGACTCGGATGGGGGGGGGGTCATTGTCAGCTTTGAAGCAACTGCCAGAAGAATTATATATCTAGAGCTCCCACCGCTGGCAGTGCCAAACGATCAATATCTGCCATGATGCAGGGCACCAATCAAGGGAGAGACGGAGCCATTCAATGGCTGGTTAATTGCAAGTATTGGTGGACTTTCCAATTGGCCTCTACTCAGCCTGTAAAAGCCCTGACTTAAATATAAATTGTTCACAGTAATCCAACTGAAATTAGAGTGTATTAGCACTCAAAAAATTCAGATTTCCTGAGGCTCTGATTGGCTTGGAGCTGTGGAGCAGCCAATCACATTGCAGAATCTCTTCATTTTAAACGAAAGCTGATACACTCTATTATGTGATCCCCAGAAGCATCAATTGGGCCCCATTCTCGCTCGGTCGACATGTCGACCAGCTCGCATAGGGCCCAAGAACCTGCCAAAGGTGGGCACAGAAAACTGAGTTGTATCTGCACAATGCTCTTTGAGCAAAATAATGGTTGAGTCTTTCTGCAATGACAGGACATGAAGAAAATTGATGGTAAAAGCTAGGTACATTGAAGAGGTGAGAATTTTGAGGAGGAAATTTGAGTTTTAATCGACATCGGCCGAAACATCGGCCAAGAACACTGGTCAAGCCGAATATACGTAAATGGAAACATCGGGTGGAACCGGAGAAAAATGGCAGGTACATCAAAGGATCAATCAAAAAGGACTGATTTCATCAAAAAGAGATCATTACTGCCAAAATTTTTTGATAGGGCGCTACAGGACCCACTACCTAAAGTTAGTGGGCATACGCCCTGAATGATCCCAGAAGAAGAAGAAAAACCCACCCTCCAAAATTTGCAAAAGAAGAAAAAATTACATAAATCAATCTGTTAATGCGGGCACTGGGAGTCAAACCCAGGTCTGCTGCTTTAATTGTATCAACATTACTTACATCAAGCAGCTGTGTACCATACACCACACCCACTTCCTTCGTGCTGTTCAAAAGCCTCTTAAGTGCCACTTCCTGACTATTACTACAGCAGCAGTCAATGTAAGTCTCAACATCCTCGACTGGCAACCAGATTTTGCAATATATATGTAGTCAGCAATCAGAAAATCCAGCCTGAGAGAGAGAAAAAAAAGAAAAAAAAACTCCAAACTAAGTACGTTGTCATAAGGCACCGGGAATCGAACCCATTCTGCAACATGCCATCAGTATTATGTAGACACATTGTAGTCATACACCATGCCCGCTTTTCCGGCTCGTTAAGTTGCCCGCTTTTGGACCATCCCTCCATGGGAGCAACCCTCACGTCAGTCAACTGTGTTCAAGTTTGCTGCAAATCAAATCAATCAACTGTATTGAACTGTCTCGACCCCTTGGCATACATTCCTTCTTCATAATGATCCCAGAAAGAAAAGAAAATTCGCTCCCTAAAATGAGAAAAACAACAACTTGTGGAACTATGTGGGTGCCGGGAGTCGAACCTAAGTCTACTGGCTGCAAAGTTATGACCTTAGAACTCAATGCCACTGTGTACCATACACCACACCCACTTATCTCTCCCTTTAGATTCCCCACTTCTATACCACCTGCATGGAAGCAGCTTTCACGTTAATCATCAATCAACTTCAATTGTAGATCAAAATCAACCAACTGTGCTGCAATCAGGTTGGCATCCACATTTTCTCTTTCTTTTCCAATATGTACACAATGATCCCAGAAAGAAGAAGAAAAACTACTCCCCAAAATGAGAAAAACAACGGCTGTCTCCTTATGTGGGTGCTGGGAGTCGAACCCAGTCTCCTGCTGCTTGCAAAGTTCTAACCTCAGAACTTAATGCAGCTGTGTACCCTACACCACACCCACTTATCCCTCCCCTTCCAAAGCATCCTTAGTAGGTGGCACACTGAATTGGAACTGAATTGGAACAGCAAGCATGTTGTATTCAATCCTGAGCGACTGGACATATACACGTATCAGGTCCATACCTATGTATATCGATAAACTGTTGAATCCAACAAACTTTTAGTAGCCCAAGGAGACATACTTAGAGAGAAGATCGGGAGCTTCGATAGGAAAGATCGCGAGGAAATCAAAATAATAGTACTATGTAAAACAGGTAGAATCACAATTAGGTAGGAAGGTATATTTCGGTGCGGTCCCGTTAAGAAACAACCGGAGTCCGTTGTGTCAGGTGTGGATGAATGCCGACACCAGTGGAGATCACAAAGCAATTAAAACGAGAACAACAACAGGTAGAATTGCAACGAACATACATATAAACATAGAGTAGTACAGATCTGTATATTCTTTGGCAATTTTTCAGTCAGTCCGGCGGCTCCAGGTTACTTTGTCGCAGAATCAAGAGCGCTGCCGATGATACCATATTATACAGCGCCAGCGCGCCGACCCACGCCCCCAACCGCGCCCACAAGCTGCCCCACCTCACCCTCACCCTCCAGAATCGTCTCGGGCTGCGCGTGAGGTGGATGTGGGTGCGAGTAAGGATGCATGCAATTTCATAGCCCCGCGATCCCGCCGCCACCGCGTTCCTTGCGGCGTTCTCCGACGTATGTTCACGGCTGCGGGACTTAGTCCCCGCACCGCCGGTGGACTCGACGGCGCCGGGGTGGTGCACGGGCCGGTTGACGGGCAGTGTGGGCGATGCGGTGAGGTTCGCGAGGCTGCCGCGGTCTGTGGAGGTGTTAATATGGGTATGGAATACGATGGGAGCAAAAAAAAAACACTCACATTCTGAATGGCGGGCGCGCTCGTACGCGGGGGCCGGGCCGGGGATTATATTCCCCGTGCCCGGCGCGCCGCCCCGGGCCCCGTGGACCTCCGCCTGCGGAGTTGGGTTCGTGCGGGACAGCCTCGACGGCGGCGATGTCGGTCCTCGCGACTATGAGTGGCTCATATTGCCCGCTCCGTCGCGCCCGTCGAGAACACCGCCTCGTGAGCGCGGATGTGCTCGAGTTTGCCGAGGGGAAGCAGAAGTTCCCCCGCGCCACCCCGTCCCGTTAAGCGCACCCCACTGCCGACTTTCGTCTGGGTGTGCTCGGGCCCGTCACCGAGTCGGTCTCACTGGCAGGACTCGGAGGAGTGTGTCGCCCAGTCCACCGCGACCGTCAAGAACTCGTCGCCGCCCCTGCGTGCATCTTATCTGTAGGTTGTACTGCGCGCGCACAGCGGGGAGGGTGCGGCGACGCGCGGACAGCGGTGAGTTGCGGGGTGTCGGCATCGTGCGTCGTGATCATGATGGGTCTGAAAGTTGTTCCGGAACGACCCGTTTGATCCGTCACTGCTCCGAACCGTCGTCCCCTTTCCTCCGTTCTGTCCGGGTTACATGCTAGACACTCTATATCCCTTCGGTCTGGATCGACGTAAAGTTACCAGATGAGCTCTCGGCGCGTCGTTCACTGCCCTCCACGCGGTAATGGAGAAACGAAGACAGGTTCTCCATGACGATGCTCTGCGACATCATCCATCCTCGTCTTTAACGCCGGGATACCATGTCCTGGGCACGATCATCGCAACAGCTCTTCGAAAACATACATCCCGAGGGAAATAATATCTACACATACACAGCCTCCATCGCATTATAAAAATTGCGCTGAATTCTGCCCAGTCGACGGGCCCCCGATGAGCGGCTTTCGCTTCCTCTCGCGGGGGAAGCCCAAACTCCCTCCTATAAAACCAAAACCGCCCCATCCTCGCACCCCATGCGCTTTCCCCGATGCGCTCCGTACCGCCCTGTTCGCACTCAAAGAATCAGCCGCCGCCTTTCCGCCGCTGGAGAGCGCCGTCGGCGGCGTCATCGCACTCTGCAATATTGCCGAGGTCAGCCTCCGGACCTTGCTTTGGAAAACTGCTATTGCCGATACTTGGATAATGTGCAGCGCTCGAAACACTCGAAATCCGAGGCACACGACATCGCGTTGCGAACCAAGGAGATCCTCGATGTGGTCGCCGACGCCGTCCCCGATGTCACCAAGATACATCCTGACATGCGTACAAGTATCGAACGCTTCACAGTGTACGTCCGCTTCGTTTCCGCTGGGCGTGGTATGTGTAATTTATATTTGCCGCAGGTTGCTCGACGATATCAGGTACCGTATGGAAGCCGTGGCACTTACCGGGCGTGTCTCGCGCCTTGTCCACCTGAACCGCAACGAACGCATGCTGCGGGACATCAAATCCCAGCTTGACGAGGCGTACCAAGACTTCTCTGTACGTTTCGAAGGCTTCCGTGAATATCTTGTTCTGATATTTGTGTCTATCCAGGTTGCCGTAGCGCTGCGGATCGAGGTGCAGCAGATGAACTTGGTTTTCCAGCAAGAAAAGATTCAAGTGGATGTCGCGAATGTGGCTGCGGCTACTGTGAGTGTTCTCCTCCAACTGAGAAAACACCAGACCGTTAATAATGAGTGCCCCTTTCTTCGCACAGACAGCCCTCGCGCCTGATTTATCGAAAGTCCTTCTTTATTCCAAACTAATTGTTTTTTTGGCCGGCCCCTGACAATCCGAGATGTCTGTTTCAAGTCTATACTACCCTACTTCGCCGTGACGTCTCTTCGCGTCTCTCCGCGTCGCTTGCTCGCGCGCGAGCGAGACGGGGAGCATTCGTTTCGACTGACTCTAATTCTAATCGATCTTGGTGTCGTTACCTCGCGCGCCAGCGAGCAGGGGATCATTCATGGCCTTCATAATATTCAACTAACCATGTTACTACACTCAACTAACTACACTATGTCGCCAAAAGTAATGACAAACGTATTTTCGACCAGTACAACACATTTTGGCATGAAGTAAGTCGGTCGACGCCGACATTCCTAGGATCCCAAATACAAAAATTCATATATTTTGGCTCACGCAATCTTTCGACTCGCTGCGGTAAGTGTGGAAATATCAGCCCATGGCCAGATCAAGTCTCCCTCAGGCGGAACACGGGAACAGCGTAAAATAATTTGACATCGTACGCATATTAGCCACGAGAGCAATGCTTGATCTAGGATAAATCAAGGCCTTGAGGAACTCAGTGTTGGAGAGCTCTGCCATACGGTGCTGTAAATCTGGTACTTTCAAGAAGAGTTGCTCCAGGAAATTTGACCGCAGGAGGAGTTTTGTCGGTATCGCGCCTGTACCGTATACAACAGTTTTCGGTGCAGTGGCGGTGGGACCGGTAAGAATCAAGATAAAGTCCACCAATCGGAGATCACAAACTAGTATGTCCATATTTAGTAGGCCCGTGGGGCCCATTCCAGCGCTTGAGCCTCGCACTTCATCCACAGAACAGGACTCGGAAACAACCTAGCTGTGATTCAGTCGTCCTGACCTCGTGCATTGGCCCGGAATCTTGTGTCACACCGACGTTTCCCTGTCACCTGTTTAGGATTGCTTAAGCAAAACACGTTGAGACGTGAAATTGCTTAAGACCGGGTTTAAGCGGATTAAGCGGCTTAAGCTCCCATATACCGTGTATAACTACATAATACAGTATTTCTCCCTGTGCCTGACACATTAAGCAGATTCAGCGGATTCACCTGCTACATCAAATCCAGCGGATTTAGCGGATTCAGCAGATTTACCCGCTGGATCATCACCTTTAATGGTTTTACCCGTTTAAGCGGATTTGTCCGACCAATTCACCATAACTCTGGTGGCATCAGAAGAATGACAGTCTCTGAGCTCCGGGAGCGAAATATTTTAGTAGTTGCACTCAATAAATTCATTGTACACACCACACTGGAAGTCATTTTCATCTCATGCCACCGTGCCACTCGGTGAGACGGAAAGCCAAGCATGATGAAGGCCGAGGCAGCGGTCCAAACTGATGAATCCGTGAATGGGGATCTAGCTGTAGATGATTAGAGGAAGAGATAGATGGGGGAAGGTGATGGTTAGAGACAAGAGACACTGGCCTTGGCGTTCGAAGCGAGATCATTCGATCAATTTCTTTGTTTAATTTTCTTTCTGCTTTG